TTCATCAAAAACTTGGTGAATATAAGAGAAAGCCTAAATTCCAGATTCAAGAGATCAAGAAAAATCTAGCTTAAGAGCAGATTAATAGAGAGGAATCAATGTTATTAAGCACTAACAAACCTTAGATAAGCTTCTAAACCCCCCTAATCTACCACATCTAAGAACCCTAAGCAAACTACTCACTAATAGCCATGTTTAGCACCAAATCACAAAGGAAAAAGATGTTAATCATGATTAAAAAAGAGATTAAAAAAATATTAAAGGCAAATACAAACTTATATTTAGTAAAGAAAGAAATTGTCTTACAAACAAAGAGGAATCACTCAGGAACAGTGAACTGACAAGACATGTCTTAAAAACCCTTAAAACATGGTATTTAAACTTAAAAAAGGAATGCCCTAACATAATGGTTCCTTTCGGTCTCCATGTGACCGATAGCTTGATCGATAGGCTGGCTATCTGTCTTAAAAATTATCGATAGGGTGACCGGAATACGTCCAATATGTTTCTATCGGTTACTCCTTGTGACCAATAGCTTGATCGATAGCTCTCTATCGGTCACTCCTTGACCGATAGCCTTCGTGCCTTGACCGATAAAGCTTCCAGAAGACTTCTGCCTTGGCTCCTCTTGCTCCATCTTAGCTCAGCTAGACTCTTGGTTCATTCTCACAACTCCTCTTTATTCCTCATAGCTCCATAAGCACCTAAAAACATCTTTGATGCAAAGAAAATGCAAACTACATCCTAAATGCAGCCTAAATCTAAATGAAGAAGAAATTTGGACAAAAGATAAGGAAAACATGCAAAAGAGAACCAAAACATGCACTAAATGTAAGCGTAAATGATGAAAATATATGAGGTATCAGTCAGATACATGCCAGATATATCAAGAAATCTGATCTCATTAGGGACTTTAGAGGAGAAGGGTTACGAGTTCAAAGGAGCTGGTGGAGTTCTTAAGGTGATAAAGGGGTGTACAGTCTTCATGATAGGGTCAAGACGTGAGACATTATATGTCTTGCAAGGGTCAGTAAAGTCTGCAGATAAACACGTTGCTGAGTTAAAACAAACTGATCAGAATCAACTATGGCACAATAGGATGGGTCACATGGGACAGAAAGGGCTTGAAGTTCTAGGGAAGAAAGGATGCTTCAAGGATATGAAGGTGTCTGATCTGAAGTTTGTGAAGACTGTGTAATCGGAAAAACACACAGAGTCAGTTTTGGCAAAGCACAGCATGTTACAAAGGAGAAAATTGACTATGTGCATTCTGACCTCTGGGGATCTCCAAATGTCCCGTACAGCCTGAGCAAGTGTCAATATTTCATCTCCTTCACTGATGACTTCTCGAAAAAAGTTTGGATCTACTTCCTGAGATTCAAGGACGAAGCATTCAAACACTTCGTAGACCGGAAGAAGATGGCGGAGACACATTCAAAGAGGAAGGTTAAGAAGTTGCGTACGGACAATGGGTTGGAGTTCTGTAATAAGCAGTTTGAAAACTACTACAAGGATGAAGGCATAGTGAGACACAGGACCTGCGTACACGCCTCAACAAAATGGGGTCGCTGAAAGGCTTAATAGGTCTATCATGAACAAGGTCAGGAGTATGTTGAGTGAGAGTGGGCTTGGACAGAAGTTTTGGGCAGAGGCTGCAGCAACAGCTATGTACTTGATCAACAGATCACCCTCCTCAGTGTTAGACTTCAGTGTTCCAGATGATTTGTGGACTTTGGTTATGCCTTCATTGGATGACCTAAGGAGATTCAGGTGCATAGTGTATGTTCACTCAGATGAAAGGAGTTGAATCCAAGAAGGGTTCTTCAATGTTCTCTTCTGCCGGTCTCTGTGTATCTCCATACCCAAGATCTTCTTTGTATCTCCCAAATCTTTCATCTCAAACTCTGAAGCCAGCAAAGCCTTCAGCTTTTGGACCTGAAGCTTATATGTCGATACAATCAGCATGTCGTCCACATAGAGCAGAAGATAAATGTATGTATCTGTCTTCAGCTCTTTGAAATACACATGGTTATCATACTATCTCCTGTCATACCCATTCTGGATCATAAAATCATCGAACCTCTTGTTCCACTGACGAGGCGACTGCTTCAGCCCATACAGAGACCTCTTTAACAAACATACTTGGTCTGGGTACTTCTGATCAACGAACCCTTCAGGTTGCTCCTTCAGGTGCATAGTGTACGTACATTGAAGATAACTCAAGAAGGCTATCTCATGAAAGTCTTAGACAACTTCGATATGGATCAAGCGAAGTCTGTCGCTACACCAATGGGAGCTCACTTCACGTTGAGCTCAGCTTCTGATCAAGAGTTTATGGAATAGCGAGAAGACATAGAGATGATTCCATATCAAAGTGCTGTAGGAAGCATAATGTACTCGATGGTGGGAACCAGACCAGACTTGGCTTATCCGGTAGGAGTGATCAGCAGGTTTATGAGTAAACCACTCAAGGAACACTGGCAAGCAGTAAAGTGGGTTCTCAGATACATCAAGGGTTCGGCTCAGATGAGTTTAAGTTTCAAGAAAGAAAGAGACTTCGTGGTGAGGGGATACTGCGATTCTGATTATGCCGTAGATCGTGACAACATAAGGTCAATCACGGGGATGGTATTCACTGCAGGAGGAAATACAATAAGCTAGAAATCAACACTTCAGAAGGTGGTGGCTTTGTCGACCACTGAAGCAGAATATGTGGCTTTAGCAGAAGAGATAAAAGAAGCGGTATGGCTGAAAGGACTTGCAGCAGAACTAGGTTTTTCTCAGGACTCAGTTGAAGTATACTATGATTCACAAAGTGCAATAGCACTATCGAAGAATGCTGTTCATTACGAACGTACCAAGCACATGGATGTGCAGTACCATTTTGGCAGGGATCTTATCAATAAAGGGGAGATTCAAGTACTGAAGATTACAACAGCGTATAACCCTGCAGATATATTCACAATGATTCTCATAGTCGGCAAGTTACAAGAAGCATTACAGATGCTTTGTGTTTCGACTGATTGAAGCTAGCACTCGGGTTGAGTGCTGGTGTCCGGTAAAGAATGCGAGTTCTTCACCAAGTTTTGATCATGGCTACAGTGGAGACCTGAAGTTTGGTAGTCATGATCTCAGGCCCAAGTTTATTGGTCTGGAGCAGCTGGGCTTCAGCTGGAGTAAATCAAGGATTCGGTCAAGAGTCAGGCCCGGTTTACTGGTCCACTTGATGTTACTCTCTTATTGGTCATATGTGTGAGTTTACACGTGTATGTCTAAGTTGTTGAGAGGATAAAGACTTAGATTAGATCTAACAAATTCGTCATCTTTTGTACCAGAAAGTTAGGTCGAGAGAGGTGAGAGAGAGAATGAGATACATCTTGTAATTGGAGCTTGTTTTGAGATAGAGAGATTAGTGGATTCCGGTGGATTATCTCCGGCGAGACGTAGGGTTCCACATCGGAACCTGAACTCGTTAAACTCGCGCCTTCTTCACTTTTCTGCACTTGTTGATTCGTTTAATCATTGCATCAGAAATCTTGCTTGGATTCAGATTGTGAACACCCATTTGCATAGTTCCAGCCATCACACGACAACACAGATAGGATGTGGTTACTTTCTCGATGAAGGCTTTCGAAAATTTAGTTACTTCAGCTGGTTCAACACGTAAAAGTAAAACAACTAATTCTAAATTCTACACTTTTAAAAACATGTTTAAAGATAAGTGGAGTGTTTATATATTATATGGACAATGGTTTAGTCGTATGCATTAAAGTGTTTTCTCTATCATTTAATTCTTTCTTTCTTTTTTTTTGCTTTCTTCAAATATTTATCATTAATTTACGTTATTTTTATATTTTCAGTTTAAAATAAGTTTCAAGATAAATATTATATAGATGTTTAATCTAATTTGTATCATTAAATTTAATTTAATTGAGTGAAATAAACTTAGAGTACAATATTAACAAAACACTATTAAACACTCAATTCTTGTAAAAACAAAAATTAAGCAAAATTTAATAAAAGAACAGGCAAATAATTACAATTTGAGAAAAACTTAAGCAAAAAACAAGAAAAAATACCATGGATAAATAAAACTTTTTAAGTTTCTCTCTCTATAGTTCTTAGTAGAACTAAATTTCAATAATGGATCCTCTAAGGGTTTGGCAAAAAAAAGGCGACTCATTTATCCATAGACTTCCTCCACACTCAACGGCATATCTCGAAGTGTATCCCTCGATCGTAAGCAATACAGTGTATCAGAATATCTTCTTACGTCCTGATCTTGCTTCTATATCGGTGAGACATATCTTTCGATTTCTTCTGTTGCTTTAGGGAGACTTGGAACCCTCTTTGTCTGTATCTGTTTTTTGGTTCTGGATCTTTCTTTGCGTTTGGTTAAGAATCTAGTTTGCTGCTAAGTTGTTGTTGGGCTTACATCACGCGTTAACCATCTAGCATATTACTACATTTTGAATGGATAACCTAATCGTAAGGGTTGCAAAAATCCGGGTGATCCCGTGTTCAAGTCCTGGTCTTTTATGATGAATTTTGGATCTGAAAACGGCAGAAGAAGAGTATCTTCGTCTCAAGCAAGAAGATGTCTTGATTTGGACGATGAATTCATCATAATCCCTGACTGCAATCTGACGGCAGTGTCGAAACGATTTAACTGGCATTAAAAGGATGGATGTTTCATATCGAAGGAAGAATTGATGCGCTTATTAATCCACTCCATCGATTTAACAGGGCCGAGTCTGAGGGATGAATATGGGTGATGGTAGTTCCAATTTACTTTCGACCAAGAGGAAGATTTTCTCAAAGTCCTGAATAAGAGACCTTGCCATTTTAATAGATGGAGTTTCTCGCTAGAACAATGGGAGCCCTCAACGAATATATCCTTACCAAATACGATGCCCTTTTGGATTCAAGTGACTGGACTTCTGGTCCACCTTTGGAATGATCTCACTTTCAAAGCAATTGAGAAAGCATTAGGAAATGTGATGGAAGTTGGTGAGATTGGGGCCAGGATTCAGGTAACTACTAATGCAGATAAACCAATTCAGTTTGAACACATAATCGGATTCCTTAATGGTGAATTACTTTTTAACTATGAGGGCCTCCATCGATTCTGTTTCAACTGCAAACGACTCTCGCATGAACAGAGCACATGCCCAGAACTTATAGAGGATCAAAGAGAGTCACTTCAGAAACTAAGACATGAAGTTAATGCGGTGGATCCAAACGGCCACACATATGCGAATGATAGCCTCAAACAGGCTCGATCTCCACCAACTGGTGAGTTCAGAGATGATGAGTACGCTTCGTGAATCAGAAGATGACAAGGAGAAACCCCCATCGATTTGAATGGTATCCGAGGAAGCTCTCGTGTTGTAATAATGAACTAAATTGTGATAGACCTGGCGAACATGCAAGGGATTTACAAATAAATCTGAAGGAGAATAAACAAACTCGCAGCTCAGATATCTGGAACCGACTTGATGAACATGCATCTTTAAGAGCTCCACGACATCGGGAGAGAGTACAACCGTACTCAAATTCTGGTTATGAAAGACCTCCAAGGAACGCTCAATCCAACAGGAGAAGATATAACCCTTCTTCCCACGTCATGTGGAGACCTGTAAGGTGGTGGATTCAGAAAAAGAAAGTCATCTTAGTTCTCATTCCAAACCGACGGGTTCCTCCATCAATAATAGTCAAGCTCCAGTACCTGCTGATTCTCAAAGATTAATCTCATACAAAAGAATTGAATAGAGTGGCAATGGACACATAATGGTGTACTAAAACGAAACAGAGGAAGCTCGAATCCGACGTTTAAAGAGTAAAGCTCTGATGATAGCTCCCGTGAGAGACAAAGAAACATATGAAGGTAAAGGGCGGGTGAGGGATTCGAGTGGTACTCTGGACATCAGGGAGCACAGTAACCCGCTAATATCTACCTCGATAAGACAAGAATATAGCTCTAAAGTGACGTTCCTGATCAACTCTCCGAGAATCTTGGAAGAGGAAATGGATCTTGATTTTACGGAGGATGATAATACTCCCATGACAGAAAAGGACCGTAAAGACCTAGACTCTCATGTTCATGAGATGATGATATAAGACTCGGTATGGAAGGCTTATATGATGCGGAAGTGATGGAAGGGTGGAGTCAATACGCTGGCTATGACGCTCTCTCGTACGAACTGATGGATGAAAGGTGATAGAACAAGGCTTGATGAGAAAGACTTGAGCCGAGATGGGATCTGTCAAGTTGGCTTTAACGCTCTCTCTTGAGGGATCAGTGAATGATGAATGAAGTGGATCGATGGCACCACAAAGAGTATGGGAAGCTCTCTGATACAGCAAAACTCGGCTCTTGGTGAATCACACACACTAGAACAACAAGAAAAAGGACAAAGGCAAGCGGTTGCTTGAGCTTTGAAGAATGTTCAGCCTCTATTGATAAACAAAAGGTGACCAAAGATACAATGCTGTAAGGGGGCTTTGTAAACAGCTCGTCAGCTAGCCCTAGGGCCGAAAGTAAAAGCAAAACGACATAAACAAAGAAATACAAAAGAGCAAAACGCAAAAAAGCAAAGATACATGAAAAATGAAAGTTCACATAAGCTAAAAAGAAAATAAAACTAAGCCGACTTTCTTGTTGCCTTAAGGGCTTGAACTGATGGTTCCTTGGCGTGTTGTGATGCTTAAGAACCGTTGCGACAAGCCTCATTGCCTGCACCAATTGTATAAATTGAGAATACTTGGTTTTGGTGCACATTAAGCTTGATTGGTAAGTTGGTGAATGCTTCTTGTCCAGATCCGGTTGGGGTGAGTTCTTTAAAGTTCTCTTCATACTGATGTCCACTGAAGTCGAGCTGGTAGATGTCTTCAAGAGTTTCCCCACGTTCATGTCTTAAAACGTCTTTTTGCTCCATTTGTCCTCTAACGGCTACTTGACTTGTATCGAGTGTATCTTGGTGCTCAAGTACGGTATTGGCGAGATTCTTATTGTTTTAGGCTCTATTTTACCGTCAAGTAAATGGGCATACCTTGGTGTGTATCTGGCTAATCTTCTTTGAGGCTCATCTTAGTAAAATCCTCTGTGATGTCTATTTCGTGTGTAATGGGGCTCGTTTGGGGGTTTAGCAAAGTTCCAATGTTCATGTTGATCAAGAGTGTCTCTACAGCCACGTTCAACCCCTGTCTTAGCCTTCTAGTCTTAGAACGTGTCATGGGGGAGCCATTAACAGGTGGTATGGCCTTCTCTCCTAGTTCTTCTTCTCTCGGTAAGGTTGTAAGGTCTATATCCTTATCATTCCCTTCCCCTTCGAGAGGTTTTGTCCTCAAAATTGACTCATCTACATCATAAGGAGATAAATCAGCAACTTTAAAGCTGTGTGATATGTTAAACTCACCTGGAAGCTCCAAACAGTAAGCATTGTCATTGATCTTCTCTAATATGCGAAATGGTCCATCTCCTCTTGGTGCAAGCTTGAAACTTCGTTTATGTGGGAAATTTTCAGGTCTCATGAGTAGCCAAACCCACTCTTCTGGCTCAAATGTTAAAACCTTGTGTTTCTTGTCAGCTTGCTTTTTGTAAGCTTCTGTTGATATATCATGGTTTTTAACCATGGTATAAGTCCTTTTTTATTAAGTATTTTTGTCTTTTTAGAGTCCTAGTAGAGTTTTTGCAGGTTATAGCATGACTGGAGCACAATTGGAGGTTTTGGAACTTTTTGGATCAAAGCAGGAATCACTCCCAAAGTTAGCAACTCAGAAGGCGTTGTTGTGCATTGGTGACGATTGTCACCACTCAAGGGTGACACTCGTCACCCACCTCTGAGAAGGAGTTACGTGTTTTAATAAAAGATGGAGAGGATTTTACACTTTTGCCCCCATGAGTTCTACTATTTACAAGAAGACCCCGACTCGTGTTTTAGCTTGTATATTAGGTTTTTCAGCCATTGTTGGCTTTGATCTTGGATCTGAATTTCTAAAGAACTTTTGAGAGAGATAGTTTAGAGAGCTTTGAGGGAGACAACTCTGAGAAGAATTCAAACCCTTTGTATCTCTACTCTTTATCTTTTAATGCTGTATTATTCAGCTATGCTTTGTTTATTCATAATCATGTCTGAGTAATCTGTTAGTTAAGTTAGGATGTTTTAAAGGTTGATGACGAATTTGTAGAATTGCCAAACTGTTAGGAAAATCCACTGGTTCTTCATATGTGCTTGGATTCATATTGATTTCTTAGACTAATCATCTAGATTTCGAAACCCTAGGTTGTTTAATAGATGTGAGAACATTGTTAATCACCTGAACTAGTATTAGATGAGCAAAACAACTAATCACAAAGAGATTTGGCTTACGAGTTTTGTGAACAATCGAAACATGATCTTTAATGCTTGCTTGACTTGTTAGAATTTGCAAAGAGATTTGAAATTCTGTGAATTAGGCATAGATAAATTCTGCAATGAGAATTGATTAGTTATATCATTATGTTTCGAGTTCTAGACGGTTTTAATTCATTCCTAATTGCATGCATTCTACGTTCAACCTCGAATGATCCTGACTTAGTGCCTTTAGCTTTGTGAACTTTAGATCAACCAACAAAAACCGCCTGCTTTAATATTTTAGTTATTTCGCATTACATTTATTCATTACTGCTTAGCTTAATCCGAATCTAAAATCATTAGTGTAGCAGCTTACTCCCATGGGATTCGATAACCCTTTATGCTACAACTGCTTTGCTGTGCACTTGCAGTAGTAAAATAATTGGGTAAAACTTAGACCCTATCATCTGTCTTCTTCAAAATTTTCTCTATAACTTTCTCATGCAGTTTCTTGACATATTCTCCTTTCTTGAGACCATCTAAATTTATTTGTTCAACTTAGGGAATTGGCGAGAGGTCAAGAGGGGTTAGTGGATTAAAACCATAAACAACTTCAAAGGGAGACATCTTAGCAGTTGGATGTATAGCGCAGTTGTAAACAAAATCTATAAACGGTAAGCAATCAAGCTATGTTTTTAAATTTTTACCAAGTGTAACCCTAAGCAAGGTAGAGAGAGTACGATTTACCTCTTCTATTTGCCCATCAGTTTTGGGGTGGCAAGTGGTGGAGAATAGCAACTTAGTACTAAGCTTTCTCCATAAGGTCCTCCAAGTGGCTTAAGAACTTTATATCTCGGTCAGACACAATCATTCTTGGTAAACCATGAAAGCGTACCACTTCTTTAAAGAACAGATCAGGCGGTTTGACTCCTTGTGTCGGAACTTAGGTAAACCTAGCACAAAATCCATAGAAATATCCACCCATGGTGCGTTAGGAATGGGTAAAGGTAAATAGAGACCATGCGGATGTAACCTGGACTTGGCTTTGTGATAAATAACACATCGTGAGCAGTGCTTCTCCACATCTTTCCTAAGGTGTGGCCAACAGAAATGATCAGCTACCATTGCAAGTGTCTTATCCACGCCGAAGTGACCCATAAGACCTCCACCATGTGCTTCCTTGAGTATCAAGTCTCTCATTTAACTTTGGGGGATGCACAAGCGTTTGTCTCTGAATAAGAACCCATCATGCAAGTAGAATGAGCTGAAAGCTCCCTTGCTGTGTAGCTGATAGGCTTCCCCAAGCTCCAGGTCATCTTTGTATAGCTCTTTTAAATGCTCAAATCCTAGCACATTAGCCTCCATAGTAGTTATCAATGCATGTCTCCTTGAAAGTGCATCAGCTACTACATTTTCTTTTCCTTTTGCATACTTGATCACATATGGGAATGTCTCTACGAACTCCAGCAACTTAGCATGTCTTCTTTTGAGTGATGTATGGCCTCTCAAATGCTTGAGTGTCTCATGATCAGTGTGAATAATGAACTCCTTAGACAGTAAGTAGTGCTGCCATGTCTCTAGAGCCCGGACCAATGCATATAGTTCCTTGTCATAGGTCGAGTAATTCAGTGTAGCTCCACTGAGTTTCTCGCTAAAGAAAGCTACTGGCCTCTTCCTTTGATGTAGTACAGCTTCAATGCCTAAGCCAGAAGCGTCGCATTCCACCTCAAACATCTCATCAAAGTCTGGTAAAGCAAGAACCGGTGCTTCGGTCAGTTTCTCCTTGAATGTTTTAAACGTGCTTCTTGAGCTGCTCCCCATGAGAATGACACGTTCTTCTTGATCACGGCGGTGAGAGGGGCAGCTACGGTATTGAAGTCTTTCACCAAACCTCCGATAGAAGCTAGCTAAACCATGAAAACTCCTTACATGGCCAATTGTAGTAGGTGTTGGCCATTCTTGGATTTCATTGATCTTCTCCTCATCTACTT